CTTTCTGTCTCTCTCTGGCTGCTTTTAAGATTCTTGCTTTGTCATTGGTGTTTGCCAATTTAATTATTATGTGCCTTGGTGTTGGTCTTTTCGGGTTCATTTTGTTTGGGACTCTGTGAGCTTCTTGGATTTGTGTGAGTTTTTTCCTCCCTATATCAGGGAAATTTTCTGTTACTATTTTTTCAAACAGGTTTTCTATTCCTTGCTCAGTTTCCTCTCCTTCTGGCACCCCTATTATTCGGATGTTGTTTTGTTTAGCATTGTCCCAGAGTTCTCTTAGGCTCTCCTCCTGCTTTTTAATTTTTTTTTCTAGAAGCTGTTCTGTTTGGGTATTTTTTTCTACCTTGTCTTCTAGCTCGCTGATGCGGTCCTCTGCTTCTTCTAGTCTACTGTTGATGCTTTCTATTGAGTTCTTTATGGCAGTGATGTCATTTTTCATTTCTTCTTGGTTTCTCTTCATTTCCTCTTGGTTCTTCTTCATTTCCTCTTGGTTCCTACACATATTGTTGAATTGGTCTTCCATTCTTTTCATCCACCTTATGGCCATTACTCTGAATTCTTTCTCTGACAGGTTGCTTGCCTCCATTGCCTCCATTTCGTTTACTTCCTTTTCTGATGCTGCCTGTTTTTCTTTCATATTTGGGTTGGTTCTTTGTTTCACCATGATTTCTCTTCTCAAGGTGTTTGGTTATGTAGTTCTCTCTCTGCTGCGCTGATTCAAAGGCACAAAATACAACACAACAAGGCACAACATACAAGGCACCGAACTAAATGCATTCACGATATTAATAACCCCAAATAAAGGTGACGCCCCGAGTGAAGAGAATTAGGGGATAAAGAGGAAAAAAGAGGAAATAGATTAAAGAGAAAAATAAAAAACAAAAAGGAGTGCCGAAATGAGATTGGGAAAAGGGAGAGAAGAAAAAAACAAAAAGACAAAAAAATAACAACAACAAACAAACAAACAAAAACAAAAAAAAACAAACAAAAAAAAAGTAAGAGAATGAAATAGAGGTGGGGAAGAGGCTATTTGTATGGGGAGAAAACTCCAAGAGAACCGCAACCAATCTCAATGAACTCCAGCAGCAGATCCCTGGAGACTAATGCAAACTACAAACAACCACCAATATCAAGCGAGGCAAGGGAAAACAGAAGCACAGAAATAACCAGATAAAGAAAAAGTAAGCAAAACAGAAAAATGAAATTGAAAAACAAAACAATTTCCCACACAAGCATAAAAAAACCCAATATACTCAAAATCAAGCAAACACTAGCAAAACGACAGAGAGAGAGAGAGAAAAAAAATTAGATAGTGAAGAAAGATAAGAGAGAGGTGTATATGGATTTAGAGCGAGGGATTGGAAATTAGATATATAAGTAGGGTGAAATTTAGACAGTGGGTAGAAAGAAGGAATAGGGAAAATCCAAAGCAGGAATAGGGTAAGAGAAACAGGACAACAAAAGGGGAAAAGTGAGGAAGAGAGTTTTGGCTTAAGGGTAAATGTGAGATAGAGAGAAATGATGCTAAAGGAACGATGAAAATAGAGTGTAGAACACTAATCCCAAAATAAAATAAAGAAAAATAAATAAATAAATAAAATGACACTTGAAAAAATGGTAAAAGGATAGCAATAATACTGGTTAAAAAATGTAGTAATTAAAAAGGTAAAATCAAGTGATGAAAAAGATAAAAAATAAAAAAATAATACAATAGGTTCTTAATGAAATGGTGAAAAAAGAATTAAAAAAAAATATATAAAAATATTCGGAAGTGAAGGTGCTTCAGATCTTCCACTCTTCTTTTTGGCACGCCTTAGTCCTGCCAGGCATTCAGGGGAGTGTTGAACTTCCCTGTGATACACTGTCCCTCGTGCAGTAAACCACAGACCTGATTTTAAGGCAGCTTGTATTTGTTTACCAGACTGCCTTTATTTGTGATCACAGAGGAAACAGTTCGTGGCTCTGCCTCTGGGTGGCAGTGTGTCTGGATTGACCTCCGAGGCTATAAGTCCTCTCTATCAGTCGGGTTTTTTTTTTTTTTTTTTTTTTTCCTCTATGGTATTTGGAAAAGACCACTGCCCAGAGCTGGTTCCTTGCCACTGCCCGCTGTTTCCCAGGCTCCCCAAAAAGAACTTTCCCCTACAGGCTCTGCAAATGACCCCAACTGGGGAATCCCATGCACTGGGTTTAATAATCAAATGCACAGATCTAAGGGGAACTGTAACAAGAGCCTGATAGTTGTGCGAATTCGCAAGCCTCCACCTTCCAGGTCTGCGCACAGTCTCCGCACGCCCACTCGCCCCTGGCACCAAGCAGCCAGCAGATTGGCAAAGTCCAAGGCTGCTCCTTTACATCCAGTCCAGCTATGGGCTCATTTTTCACGTTCCCTTCTGCCAGCAGCCCTGTGGGGCCCCTTCCCCACTCGCGGGTCACGCTGGTCCCAACGGCTGCGGACTCTGTGGGGCACAGATTCCGCTCAGCGCGCGCGCGAGCTCGGTCCTCCCTCCAACCCGAACTGCAAACCGCACCTTTAGGGGATGTCCAACCTTTCTGTGAGAAGAAGCAGTGCTCGTCTGAGTTCACGCAGTCACGCTGCTTGAGATCCCTTGTTTCCAGGTTAGTAGCTGGTCTCTGGATGCCGGCAACAACCAACCAAGATGGCGCAGCCTCCACTGCTTAGCTGGCGCACCACGAGAGGCTTCAGCCGCAGTCTCCAACCGTCCTTTTTTTCCTGGGGGTTCTCGGTCTTTCCTAGCTGCAGACAGTCTCTCAGCTGAAAACCCTCTGCCTATTCGGGCTGCATGTTACCCGTTTCAGCTGCTCACCCTTATCTGCTCCAGGACAAGGCACAGGACACGTCCGTTTATACCGCCGCCATTTTCCCTCCTGCTATTCATTTTGTTAATGTGGTATTACATTGATTGATTTTCATACATTGACCCATCATTGCATCCAGGTATTAATCCCACCTTAAAAACTTATGCTAATAAATTTTATGGGGTATGGTCGTGATACATATCAGTAGTGCCGAGTGGTTAAGCACATAGATTCTAGCCACATTTTGAAACACTCACTAAACCCTTGTGTTAGAGAAAGTTAACTGTCCACCAAAATTCAATTTTCCTTCCCATAGACTATAGTATAGTACTGGAATATGATTGCTACTTAAGAATTTTATCAGCCCCTTTCAGTTAGACTATTTCTTAATCATGGAATATGATTGGAATTGATGCTTGCCATTTGAAAGCCAAGACTTTCAGCAGATGTACTCTCATTGTGGAAAGCAGAAGGTCCCCCCAAAGATTCTAATCCCTGTGATGTTATATAATAAGGGAGTATTAAATTGCTAATTATCTGACCTTAAGATTATCTTGGATAACCTAGAAAACATCCAGGCCCAATGTAATCACAGGAAGAGAGGGGCAGAAGACTCAGTGTCAGAGTAATGTGTTCTGAGAAAGAATCCACCGGCCATTGTTGGCATTAAAGATAGAAGGGAATCAGGAGCCAAGGAGTGTGGGTAACCTCTAGAAGTTGGAAAAAGCAAAGAAAACATATTTTCCCCTATGGCCTCCAGAAGGAATGTAGCCCTGCCAATCCTTTGACTTTAGCCCATTGAGACCCATTGCAGACCTCTGTCCCCAGAACTGTAAACTACGTTTATGTTTGTTTAAGCCGCGGAGTTTGTGGTAATGTATTACAGCAGCTATAGGAAATTTATACTTTCTTTCACTCTCCTTTTCTTTTGCCAACAGGATGCAGTTGGTGAAACCGTAGGTGATGGTTGAGCCACAAGATGGAAGGATCCCAGACCTCTGGATCACCAATAAAGCAAAGTCATCTGCTGACTTAAAACACACACTTTGAACTCCTAGGTGAGATATAAACTTCTATTGTGTTTGAAAGATGACACTTGTTACCACTGTATATCCCATCCCAATGAGTAGAACTCTGTATTCCTCAGTTTTCTTATTTTTTTTAAAGGAGAGAATAACAATAGTAGCTACCTCAAATAGTTATTGTGACAATTAAAAGTTAATATATCTAGCCCAGCTGGCGTGGCTCAGTGGTTGAACATTGACCTATGAACCAGGAGGTCTCAGTTCGATTCCCTGTCAGGGCATATGCCCGGGTTGCAGGCTTGATTTCCAGTGTGGGGTGTGTAGGAGGCAACCGATCAGTGATTCTCTTTCATCTCTCCCTCTCCATTCTTCTCTGAAATCAGTAAAAATATATATTTTTAAAAAGTTACTATATCTAAAGTATTTAGAATGATTCCTGACATACTGTAAATACTAAGATTACAAACACACATGAACACATGTACAGACACACAATTTATAGTATCTCTTTTAAATATCAAGCAAACATTCTAAATAATAAAATGGCTAATTGGTAGATATAATCCAGCAGTACACTGATAGAATAATAACCATGGCCCAAGAGTGGTTTTATTTTAAGGAAAAATACAAATGCTCAATATTAGGAAATTTGTTAATATTCACAATGAGAAATGAGTGGGAACTAGTTTCTTTCTGGCTTATAAATTAGGGATAATTTTTATAGCTTTTCCTTTTTGGAAGGAGGTGAGCATTTTTTCATAATATCCCAACAACATTTTAACACTGTAGATTATAGAAATAAGCTCAGATGTTAAAATTCTGTTTGTGTCTCTGTCAGAGTTTTCAGCAGGTGTGGAATCATAACTGCTTAAATTTGATTATGGATGATTTTCCTAACATCAGGGCCCGATTGGAAATATAGTATATAAATAAACATTTTTTTTTTACAAATGGTGTTAAAATTAACTACAAATAGAAATATTGTCTCCAGTAATATTTGTTTAGTAGCATTATATGCTGGTGCTTTGAGATTTACATGTGCCACCTGGTTAGAGGAGCTGTTGACTCCTTGATACCAAAATATTTAAAAAATAATAATTTGATGTTGTAACAAAGTGAAGCTCATGTGTATGAGAGAATTAGCCTAGTTTAGATTTTCTACCTTTGGTATGTTAAAGGAGAAAATGTTCTCTGGGGAGGGAGATTGTATTCTGGGTGTATACTCCTTGCTGACATTGGTTTTGTTGATATGCTCTCCTGAGTTTTAGGCCTGGGAGGAGAGTTTGATTTGCTGAAATATTCTGTAACTGGGATTGTCATCTTATTTCTTCTTATAAACATTGCAGGTTTGTGCTCAGCCTCTAAAATAGAAAAAAAATCGAAATAAGATCATAATTGAGACATGGGACACAACTTCTGCCATGTTTTAGTAGCAAATAACATACAAAAAATCTATATGAAGTTTAGGTGAACCAGATACGCTCCAAATTCATAGAATAATCTATTCTCATCTTTTGTATCATCTGCTCACCTTGAATGAGTTATTTGTTCTATTGCATGTAGGTATGTTCTTTGCTCTTAGAATTAAACATTACTTTGATAAGAATAAATTAGGGCTTTTGATGGGCATCATGGGACTAATGAGAAAAAGGAGAAGGATCTATTGTCTTGATAGACAAAAAATGGACAAGTTTGTTAAAACAACTTATTTGCACTCATGAGACCTCTATAAGGCCTACACAGTCACATCCAAGGAAGAATAAGGATTTGGGGAGATGCTAAATATCAACACTGGGCACAAAGGTGTATGATTTAGGGATTCTTATACAAAAGTTTTCCAGATATCTATACAGGGTAAAATAGATTTGGGACCTACAGGTAAAACATAAAACTGAATAATAGAAACATCACTATCAGGATTTTGTAGTCCTGCGGTGAAGAGTTTTATAGAAGACAGATACAATAGACAATCCTTGGCATGTCAGAATAAGGGGATATTTTCTAACTTCTAAATTACACTTATTATTGCCTATTAGCAGATAGAGCCCCTTTTGGGTTGGTTAACTCCAACAGAACCCGCTAGCATCTAGAGTGACCTCCAGGAATTCTAATTAATTACCACGTCATTCCTGGTTTAAGGGGAACTTGTAAAAATAATAAGGCAGACTTTTGTTTGAGGCTAGTAGACAGTTTATAGCTATTGCTCTATGGTCATTGTTACTGTGCTTATTTTTAAGGCTAGGAGCTACCAATCCCACAAGGATATTTCAGTGGGGCTATTTTGGATCAATGTAGGTCTTTCCACACTTCTTGAGTTTTCGTGGTCCAAATCATAGTCTGGGGCTGGGCTTCTGGGAGGGACACAAAACTGCTCCTCTCTTTCATATACCAGCTATCTCATGGGGCATCTGCTGGCTGATTGCCATTTTACTGTTTTCTCTGGTTGACTTTGTGTCTAGTGAAAATCATTTGGCTCAATGACAGTTAAGCTGTGAAGAACCAAAACTCTGAGATCATTGTCTTTTTGTTAAGTCAATCCAGGGCTCCTCCTGTCACCTAGAGTTCCCTGTGTCTTGCTTCTCAAAGAGTGTCTGTCCCTGAGGCACTTAACCTTTCAAAACAAATTTATGTCAAATGTATCTCTATGAGAAGTTCAGCAGATGCTGCCCCTTAGAGTAGCTGGAAGTCACTATTGTAGTTTACTAGTGAGATACTTACTAGTCTCCTTATAACAATTCAGTAATTATCACAAACTGTACTTAACCTTTTGGTACCACCTTATTTTCTTCAGATCCTTGACTTGACACTCTAAATCAATTGGAGAAAAAGAAAATGAAATTCACAGATACAAATAAGTATAATAAGTATTTTCTATAGGGTGCATTATCATCATATAAGCTAAGTAATGTTGTCTTAAATAGCCTATTCCAATTCTTTGTGTTTCAAAGTAGATAGTATTAAATGTATTTTCCAATGAAAAATTCTTCTGACTTTGGGTAAATATCTAAACTAGTACATCATACTAAGGTAGAGAGACTGACCCTGACAACCTCCCAGTTTCTAATTTTTTTCTTTTAGTCCTCACCTGAGAAGTTTTTTTTTTTTTATTGATGAGGGAGGGAGGGAAAGAGGGAGGGAGGAAGGGAGAGAGAGAGAGAGAAAGAGAGAGAGAGAGAGAGAGAGAAACATCTGTTAATCAGTTGCCTCCCATATGTGATTGAATACCCTGACCAGGAGTTGAACCCACCAGTCTTCAGTGTCTGGGACAGTGCTCTAACCATTTAGCAACACCGGTCAGGGCATGCCGATTTCTAATTTTATGAAACTAAGGTGGAGACAAATTGCAATGCTACAAAATCCTCCTCTGTCTGAATGCTTTTTAAAGTGACCTATTATGTGTTTTGAATATTTACTGTCTCTGAATTTAAGTTTTATTCAACTTTTAATTTTAAAGCAACCAGATTCTCTCTCCCCCAGCTTAAATAACATCTTACCGCATTCTTTCATCATGATGTTATACACAAAGATGCATTTTCTTTTGTCATTGAAATTATAAGATTTAGAAAGAATTTCAATTGAAATATTTCCCAATCCCCTTAATAGTTATTTTTCCCTCTGACAACCCCCAGGAGTATGTCAAAGATAATCAAGTGAAGCAATGTACTTTAACCTTCCATTGTTTATACAAAAAAGTGATGCCTCTATGACAAAAAAGTGAGCATTTAACAAGCTATACAATAACAATACAATTTAGATTTTCTTTATAGCTTTTATTTTTAAGTAAACTAAAAAAATATACTATATTTTCTTAGATTTTGGGTGGCTACTCTTGCCCTTAGAGCAAGTATGTCAAACTCGCAGCCCATGGGCCGCATGCCTCTTTTATTTGGCTTCTGTTAGCCTTTGAGTTTGACATGCTTGCCTTAGAGGAAAGAAAAGTTTGCTCAAAAAGAAAGGTTATTGGGTAAGGAAGACCTAGCCTCTGCAAAAATGCTCTGAAAAATAGTATTTAGCCCTAGCTGGTTTGGCTCAATGGATAGAGCATTGGCCTGCGGACTGAAGGGTTCCAGGTTTGATCAAGGCACATGCCTGGGTTGCAGGCTCGATCCCCAGTAGGGGGCGTGCAGGAGGCAGCCGAGCAATGATTCTCTCTCATCATTGATGTTTCTCTCTCTCTCTCTCTCTCCCTTCCTTTCTAAAATCAATAAAATATATGTATTAAAAATAGTATTTAGAGTGATTTTCATTACATTTATGAAAGTGAAAAAAACCTACAAAACTAAATACACATTGTTGTCATTTACTGGATAAAGAGGAGTCTTAAAAACTCAGCATGTTTCTAAATATAATGAAAAGAGAATTCAAAGTCTTCATGTACATATGCCCTCTACGTGGCCAGGGTGTCTAATTACCTGGTCAGTTGATGTCCTTCTCCAGGTCTGGTCTGCACTTTTGATTTCACAGGTGAATATGAAGGAGATTTAACTTTGGTTAGCTTCCCAGTCACCGCTGCTGGTTCCGCGGAGACGCTTCTTCTCAGAGGGCGAGTCAACAAGTTTATCTCAGACAGCTCAGCATGAATCAAAGCTGAGACCCACTCTTTCTCTGATTTAACAAAAGGGGTGAGAGCGGCATGAAGGTTGTAGCGATCACTGTCTAGAGACACATTGAACTACTTTTCTTACCCAGCACGCCGGTGTAAAGGCTGCTGATCTGTTTTCTGGATGGGCCCCTATGTTTGAATCAACATTTCTGCAGAGAGGTTGGTTTACAACAACCTACTTTCTGATGACCTGGGGTACTGCAGTGCCCAGAGTAGTTAACTTGCTGAGGGATTGCCCATGAATGGCAGTGGACTAGTTTTCAAATATTGAGTACAAATCTCAGCCTTACAGGCCACTGCCACATGAAAAAAGAAAAAAAAAAGAAAAAGTATACCTCTAAAAATAATAAGTATAATGTGATCCTACAGATGGATAGTTAAATCATAGTTACAAGCATATCTAGAAAGAAATACATTGTTCACTGAAATGATGCCTGTGATAGTTTTATTTATTATTATTGGTCTTCTTTTATTTTTTTTCTGGCTCCTCCCCGTCCCCTAACAATAAGCACTTATTTCTTGTGTAATTTTGTGTTACAGTCGTAAAAAGGAAATATAATAGAGAATAACTAGAGACTTCTTACCCCCAAATACTTCTCAATTGCCTGCCAAGTAGTCTTGAATTCCTGGGATAAGGAACTATTTCCCAAATGCTCCCACTTAAAATATTACTCTGTTTTGGCACATTGGTATTTCCGAACTTTGATTAGTGCAATGGTTCTCAAATAGTTGTCCCAGACCAGCATTATTGACATCATCCGCGGGGACTTCTTAGAAATGCAGATTCTCAGGTTTTACCCACCTCAGATGTTTGGCCTCTGTCAGTCTGATGACCAGCTAGGTGTGAGGATAGCTGCTCTATGCTATTTATGGTTGTCCCATTAAGACTGGCATGTGTTTTCATGGACTAGGCCAAGAAGGGCCTAAAGGAGGCTAGGAGATGGTTTGGGTGGGGAATTGGCAGAGCTGTTAGAATCTGGATCTTGGACAGCTACGCTACTGCCATCCATACCAAAGGGAGAAACATGCTCTGTGTTAATCTCACCTTTTGAACTTGCGTGAAGCAGCCACTGTAGAACTTCGGCCAGAGAATCAGTATGTAAAATGTTACAGAGCTTTGCCAGAATCTGATACAGAATATTAGAATTACATGGTGAGCAAATAAATGGCACAAGGCTTATAAAGTTCCCTTTACTTTCTCCACAGTCTCATCCTCCCAGATGTCACTATGTACACAGTGTTCAATTAAATCAACTGGGATTTTAGCTTGGGAGCCAGCAGAATCTTTAAAGAAACAGCACTTCCAATACAGGTAGTAATAGTTTAGGTTACAGGATGCGGTTTCCCTTGTTTTGTCTGTTCATTACCAGCATCATCTGGAGGAGACATTTGTTTTTCTTCTTTTGGGGAATTGATCCTTTCCCTTTGCACCATGGGGTTCTAAGTGGGACCTTCCAGTCACAGCACTGTCCCCTCTGTACTGCCTGTTCCTCTCTACAGGGGTGAATCGAGCTGGATTCATCATTGTTCTTCAGTTCCCTGAATAGTGATTGGTCCAATGGGATAGGAATCTAATTCCCATTTGTAAATCAGAATCCTTCTTTGACAGTTTTTATCAGGAGGTAAGGGCTGAAGTGTGGATGATAGAGGAGATTAATATATGAAATAATGAATTCTAATACAATGGACTATAATAAGTATTAAAGTGCAAAGTATTAAGCTCATGATATTTCCAGTTTGGCCCTAAACTCCATCTGCTGTTAGAATTTAGACATATCTGAAATTCATGCCTCTCTCCTTAACTTCAGTCCTATGTGACCATCAGTCTACTAGATGTATCCATTTAGCTGTACTATAGTTACTTTGCACAAAATATCTAAAACTAAATCTCCATCTTTCCCTCCCTAAAACCTGCACTGAACTCGCTGTTCCTCCCGGTTCCCCTGTCTCAGTGCACAGCAGGAGCATATATGAGTGTATGTCCAAGGCACAGCCTGGGATTCATCCTGGACAATGCCAAACAAGCGCAGTAAACTCTTCCTTCTAAACACTTCTCAGATATTTCCATTTCTCTCTATCGGCACAGCCTTGACAACCCAGTCTCACCCATCATCAATTTTTCCTGGAGATACTGCAGCATCTTTTTTCCTAGTTTCTCTGCCTGAAATATTTTTTTTAAATGCTATTAACTCAACAAATATTAGTGTCTGCCATTGATCTAGATACTGGAGATACAGAATTGAAGTTAAAGGGCAGAAAAATCCACTGCTTTATATTGAGCTTTGTTATATTATTAAGATTCTTGTCCTCAGTAATGTCACATCCTGAAGACAGCAAATTAAATTTGCTCCTAATTTTACAATAAATCAATAGCTATGGCAAAAATAGGAAGAAGAACCCTTTGTACCCTCTGGGCCACTCCGCCTCTAATGGTATTTTCATCAATATGGTGATTGTGTATTACTCCCAGCTTCTTTAATTCATAATTTACTCATTGATCAACTTTGAAAGAATATAAGCATCCTTTTAGTGAGAGGGAGTGGAATATGCTCTCCCTTCTTTTCACTGAGTTTTGTTACAGAAGGTAGTAAATATATTGGCAGGTGAGTTTCATCTGTTGAAATTTGATTTTAGGATTTGGGAATGTAGGTCCATCGTAGCCCCTACTGTGGGGCTAGAATACCCTATTGGTTTTATGAGGTTTGATCTTTCTGGGGTCTCAACTGAATTCCTGGTGTGTTCAACAAGGTCTCTTCAATCTGGCAGGTCAGAAGTCCAGCTTCTCTAAGCAACGTGCTGCCTCTCATCAGCCTCTTCTGCCAGTTTTCAGAATCTCCTCCTCTGCAGGCGCAGCTTATACTGGACTAAAGACTCGTGCAACCCTAGGCAGATTTTTGGAGCTCATTCTCTCCACAGACCCCTTTTCCTCAGGATCTTAATTTCCAGCTACTTCAGCATCCCCCAAACCTGACATCATTATCCTTTACTGTTAACGTAGGTCCTTATCAGGATTATTCAATAACAACCCTTACAAGCATGTCAAACTCACAGCCCGTGGGCCGCACGCAGCCCACAATGAATATTTTTGCAGCCTAGCCAATATAACGGTGTGAGCAGTTGTTTAGAGTTATGAAAGAAAATAAGTCTCCTGTCAGACCCAGAATTACTGACATTCACCTTGGGTCAGTTTTGGAAGTAATCACGGCGAACAAGATTTCCCCCAAAGTAGGAAAGATGGTAGCAGAGAAGAAATTCCAAGTGTCAGGAAGAAAACATTAATTTTATCATTGCTCTTGTTCTTTTTTATACTATACTTTTTGAAACAAACCTACATTTCTATGAAAATCGAAGCTTTTGTTTTGTTTTTTTTGCGGCCCACATAAACTTAAACCTTGTTTATTTGTTCCAAGTTAGCTTTTGAATTTGACATGCTTGCCTTACAACATGCCCTGTTAATTTGCAATTGCTACTACTGATACTTATTTTAAAATTCTGTCAGAGTTATCATTACAATATTTTGGCCCTTAATTCATTGTAGTGAGTCCTACAGTGAGGTAAGGTGGAAGCTACCCTGGGATCTAAAGAAGGGAAACATAGGAAACATAGGACCAAGCTTGTTTGGCAAATGCCAAGCCTTTCATTATGTCTAAACCAAATGCTGTGGGGGGTTTTGTTTTGTCTTGTTTTGTTTTTAATTTTTATTGGATTGGAGTGCCATTCGTTAATAAAACTATATAGGTTTCAGGTGTAAAATTCTATAATACATCATTGTATATTGTATTGTGTGTTCACCCCCCAAAGTCAAGTCTCCTTTTGTCACCATTTGGTGCCCCTTTATCCTCTTCTACCCCCTTTTCCTCTGGTTTTACTGTTGTCTATGAGGTTTTTAAAATCCTTCACCTTAAACCAGTGGTTCTCAACCTCCTGGCCCTTTAAATACAGTTCCTCATGTTGTGACCCAACCATAAAATTATTTCCGTTGCTACTTCATAACTGTAATGTTGCTAATGTTCTGAATCATAATGTAAATATCTATGTACAGGATGGTCTTAGGCGACCCTTGTGAAAGGGTCGTTTGACCACCAAAGGGCTCGCGACCCACAGGTTGAGAACCACTGCAAACAAACAAAATCGGGACAGACTCATAGATACAGAAAACAAACTAACAGCTGTCAAACACTGTTTTCTTAAGAGTAATGGGATTTCAAGGAGAAGTAAGACTACAAGATAGCATTAGGCCTTGGATTTCGGGCTAAGTGGTTTTAAATCAATTCAGTTGTCCAAGGGGAACCCAAGAGTTTTAAAGATGCTAAGAGATGTGAATTATTCTTGTTTGTTCATGCTGTACCCAAGTTGGAGATTAAATAAACTTGCCCCTTACTTTGATTTCCTGGTCCAGGTAGTTTGGTATGCATATGGTGCTCTCCTTGGCGTTAGTCTTGGCACTCAGCACCTCTGAAGAACAAGGGCCTGTAGTAGAGCATGCCTTGGGAGGTGAGGGTGGATTTTTTACCTCACTTTCCTAAATCAAAGATATAATAAATATGCATTTTCATCCACTTATATTTTGTTTAAAAATTAAATGTAAAACAAATCAGAAATATTGTAGCTAAATGAGAAACATACAAAAAAGCAAAAAGGAGTTAGTTTTAACTTTCCCTTAAATCTAATTTTCAAATATTTGCATTTGGAGACAGAACAAATAGTAATACATTATTTACTTTTTGTGAAACCATTTAAAACCCTTGGTTGAACATCAACATAGTAATTTTTAAATGTTTAATGTGTAAATTTTATTTATATTGCTGTTTCAGATAAGAACAAACTCATGACACATAGTAAGATTTTCTGTGGAGTTGGGAGTATTTCTCTTTTATGATTGGAAAAGTTAGTCAAGAGGTTTTGTGGTGTGTCTGTGGATAGTGTGAACTGCTGTCTCCTTACTCTGCTAAATGTCAGCTGAAAGCTGGAGGATTAGAGAAGAAAACCTAATTGTTTCCCTTGATTAGTTGGAAAAGGAAATAGAAAGTCTATTTTCTTGAGTTGGGAGGTAAACTATACTGTTTGCCATAAAAAAAAAAAATAGAAAGAAAAGAAAAGAAAGGTTTGTAAGAGCAAAAAGTCCAAGCAGGTATGGATGTGTGTGCCTATTCCAATAAAGGCTTTTTAACCTTCAGAAGCAAGTGATATACAAAGACACACAGACACTAGCGGCTGAATGTGTCAACAGCTGGGGGCTATGATGACTGGGCTTGATTGAGCAATGTCTAACTGTTGACGTTTAGTGAAATTAAGCTGTATTGTTTTAGATGCATTCTTTTGTTTAAGTTTCTTATGTAGACTTCTAGTTTTGGGGAATAGTAACCCTCCCACTAAGCATAACTACAAGGCAGGTTAAAATAAAACAACAATAACAAAAAAGCAATGTCAAGGAGTGAATTAAATAGAGATGAATAGGTCAAAAGTGAAAGGGAAGTGAGAAACTTGAAGCTAACCAGTGCAATATCCATTTTGCCCTTAAATCATTGACCTTGGAGAATGAGAACTTTCCTTTTGATCTAAAGGTCCTGAATAATAGGACTTAAAGTTCAGGACCCAGACAGGAGCCACCCAAGGGCTATACTCTTAAAGTGAAGGTGACCTATAAATGTGACAGCCCTTGAAGAAATATAGTCATTGATCAAGGTTTAAACATGGTTTAAATTGATTTAGGCTTACAGGGTCTTTGGGTTCCTATAGAAACAAACACAAATTCTCTCCCAAAGAAAATTCATTTACCATGGGCTTCAGATTCCTACACATAATTTTTCATACATAATATCCAGCAATTGAGCTGTGACTCAAGAAGAAATATAATGCAAATTAGAAAAAATTTTAACTACTGAAAATGTTACATAGCACAATTATGAAAGTAGCTAAAGCAATCCTCAGAGGGAAATTTATAGCTTTAAAATATATACATTAGAAAGATAAAAGAAACTAGACAAGGAACAATAAGTATGTGAATGGAAAGAGAAAAAATATAGTAGTAATCAACAAACTAGAAAAGAAATATATAATATAGAGGATAAAAAACACAAACGTTTATTCTTTGATATAGTAATAAAATTGATAAACTGTTGAAACTTACCAACAAAAAGACACGAATCAATAAAACTGATATGTAAAAGAGTACATATAACATATCCTGAAGATATTTTAAAAAGAATATGAAGATATTATGTATAACATTGTTGATAAATTTGAACGTTTATATGAAATAAATAATTTTTAGTAAAAGAATATATTACCAAAATCAATTCAAGAAGAAACAGAAAACCTGAACAATTCTATAACAAAATAAATTTCAAATCAAATAATATTATCAGGATTGAAGACAGTAATTTAGTAATGATTAAAGGTATATTTTATCAAGGGGACATAAAAAACCTAAATAGTTATATTTCTAATAAAAAAAAAAGGTTCATATGACCTGTTTAAAAAAATGATAGGAGTGAAAAAAAAAAAAAGAAATCCACAATAATAGTCAGAGATTTCAACACCTCTCTCAATAATTGATAGAAAAAGTAGACAGCAAATCAGTAAGGCCATTGAAGACTTGAATGAGAATATCAACCAATTTGACCTAATTGATATTTATGTTACATTATACCCAACAACAGCAGAAGAGTGAACATTCCTTTTCATGGACACCTAGAACATATATCAAGATCAACCATATTCTGGGACATATAACAAATCTCAATTAATTTAAAAACTTTCAGATTATTCTGGGCTAAGAGCAATTAGCTGGTGTAGACATTCATGTCCCTCTAAAGGGTGTTGGTCACATTGCCCAAATTATTGCAATCAGCCCGTTCTTCTCTAAAGTCCAGTGGCCTATTAACAGAAATATGTGAATGAGGCTTACAAGAAGGAGAGCAAAGACATCCTAACACAATATGACTAGACCCTACAGTCAGCTGATCCCCATCACTGTGAATTTGAAAAGCTCAGGAGCCCTGGTGCTCACTGCCAAAAATCTTTCTGATAAGCCCATCATAGGGATCAGGCTTCATCTTTATTTATAATAAGCAATGGTTGTGGAATTTAAGGTTTCAGAAAAAGTATAGTCTCTGGCCACAATGGAATTAAACTAGAAATCAAGCACATAAAGATATCTTAACAATTCCTGAATGTTTGGAAATTAGATAACAATTTTAAGTAACTCATGGGTAAAAGAAGAAATGAAAAAGGAAATTAGGAAGTATCTTGAGCAGAATGAAAAGGAAAATTCAAAATAATAAAGTTTTAGGGATGCCACCAAGGCAATATTTATTGAAAAATTGTAATAATACATGATTATATTAGAAAGAAAAAAGTCTCGTCAATGACCTAAACCTTCATATTATATAGCTACAAGCCAAAATCAATTAAATGAAAACAGAAAAATAAAGCAATAGAGATCATCAATTAAATGAAAAGCTAAGTCTTTAAGAAGATCAATAAAACTCGTAAACCTCTGGCTACATACTTCAAGAAGAAAAAAATCATATAATCATTAAGAGGATATTATATGAATGACTTTATATCAAAAAATACAACTTAGATGAAAATGTACAAATTTCTTAAAAAATGTAATCTATCAAAACTCACTAAAGAAAAAATGGATGACCTGAGTAGCCTATATCTATGAAAATAAGAAATTAAATTTGTAGTTTAAAAATCTTTACTCAAAGAAAAGTCCAGCCCTGATGGCATCACTGAAGATTTCTTCTAAACTTTTAAGTAAAAAATAATACCAATTCTACATAAAATCTCCCAGAATATTAAAGAAGAGTTCCCAACTTATTCTATGAAGGCATTATTATGCTGATACAAAAAGCAGTAGAAGACATTACAGATAAACTGCAAGCAATATTCCTTATGACCATGGACATAAGAATTATAAATGATATATTTGAAATTATATAGAAAGGATAACACTGAGGAACCAAGATGCCGGCATAGGTAAACGCCTGTACTTGCTGCCTCCCACAACCACATCAAAATTACAACTAATAGGTGGAATCTCAATACCAGATATCAAGCTGTATTACAAAGCCACTATTCTTAAAACAGCATGGTACTGGCACAAGAACAGACATATAGATCAATGGAATAGAATAGAGAACCCAGAAATCGACCCAAACCACTATGCCCAATTAATATTCGACAAAGGAGGCAAGAGCATACAATGGAGTCAAGACAGTCTCTTCAATAAATGGTGTTGGGAAAACTGGACAGATACATGCAAGAAGATGAAACTAGATCACCAACTCACACCATACACAAAAATAAACTCAAAATGGATAAAAGACTTAAACGTAAGACGGGAAACCATAAAAATACTAGAGGAATCCACCGGCAGCGAAATCGCAAACATATGCCAAAGTAATTTCTTCTCTGATACTGCTCCGAGGGCAATGGAAACTAAAGAGAAAATAAACAACTGGGACTACATCAAAATAAAAAGCTTTTGCACAGCAAAGGAAACTATCAACAAAACAACAAGAAGACCCACTACATGGGAGAACATATTTGCCAATATCACCAATAAGGGTTTAATCTCCAACATTTACAGGGAACTCATGCAATTTAACAATAGGAAGATAAACAATCCAATCAAAAATGGGCAACGGACCTAGATAGACACTTTTCAAAAGAGGACATACAGAAGGCCGAAAGACATATGAAAACATGCTCAAAGTCACTAATTATACGAGAGATGCAAATCAAAACAACCATGCAGTATCATCTCACACCTGTCGGAATGGCTATCATCAACAAATCAACAAACAACAAGTGTTGGAGAGGATGTGTAGAAAAAGGAACCTTTCTGCACTGCTGGTGGGAATGCAGACTGGTGCAGCCACTGTGGAGAACAGTATGGAGCTACCTCAAAAAACTAAAAATGGAACTCCCATTTGACCCAGTGATCCCACTTCTAGGAATATATCCCAAGAAACCAGAAACACCAATCAGAAAGGATATATGCACCCCTATGTTCATAGCAGCACAATTCACCATAGCTAAGATCTGGAAACAGCCTAAGTGCCCAACAGCAGATGAGTGGATTAAAAAACTGTGGTATATCTACACAATGGAGTACTATGCTGCGGTAAAAAAGAAGGAACTCTTGCCATATGCAACAGCATGGATGGAACTGGAGAGCATTATGCTAAGTGAAATTAGCCAGTCAGAGAAAGATAAATACCACATGATCTCACTCATTTGTGGAATATAGAGAACTACATAGACTGATGAACAGAGACAGATCCAAAGACAGAGAAACAGCGATCAGACTATCAATCCCCAGAGGGAAAGTAGGGGAGGGTGGGGGTAAGGGGAAGAGATCAACAAAGGACTTGTACGCATGCATATAAGCCAAACCAATGGACATGGACAACAGGGGGATGAGAACATGAGTGGTGGTGGTGGTGGTGGTGGGGCGGGGTTGGGGGTTAATGGGGGGATAAGGACACATTTGTAATATGTTAACCAATAAAGAAATTAAAAACAAATAAATAAATAAATAAATGGGGGGAAAATTACAACTAAAATACAGAACAACTATCATCCAGAACCACGGGAAAGCTGGCTGAGTGGAAGAACTACAACTAGAGAGGTAAAGAACATTGAGACTGGTAGGAGGTGCGGAGGCACAGAATGGGCTGGTCTGGCACACGAGTGTGCTGCTTTTTTAATCGGGAAGGAGATCACCTCTTTGGAGGTCACCTGGAGGAGCAAGGAGTCCCAGCCCCACTCCAGACCCCCAGCCCAGGGTCCCAGAGCTGGGGAAAGAAGTCCCTGGCACTGCTAACTGAATTTACAGGCTCCCGCTTGCTCTGTGACCCAGTGCTGGGTGAGGCTCTGGGGGACCCAGACACATATGGGGAAAAACTGGACTGTCTGTCATCAGGGCAAGAATGCGGGGGTAGCTTTCTTTCAGACGGAGGTGCTCACAGCGGTCATTGTTCCCATGCTGAGATCTATCCAGTGCAGCCATTTCTGTTTGCTCTGCCCTGGAGATTTCCTGAAATCCCACCCCACCCAATTTACAACCCCACCCAAGCTGTGCACAGTGGCTTTTGCATATGAATGGCCTGTCCTTTCTCAGCCTAAAACCTGTCAAACAAGCTGCAGCTGGGTCAGGGAGTGTCAAAACTATCAATTAAAGGCCCAAGGTCGGCACCAGCACCAGCCTGCCTTGCTTCACAGCTGAGCCTTGCATGGACACTTACAAAGCCAATACAAAGAGGAGGAATCTGCAGATCTCTCTGTAGCTCCTGCTGGGTGGCCACAGGCAGTGGCTGACTTTGCACCTCCTTGGAGATCCAAGAGCCAGTGTACCCAATGATCAGTGTGAGATCATACCAGATTACAACTCTTCACATCCATAGTGACACACTCATAGGGCAGACTCAGGGAGCACCAAAGCCCCACTGAAGCAAGTCCTGCCCCATAAGGGTGTCTCCTGCACAGCGGCTCTCCCATTGTATTCGCAGCTGGTCCCCACAGCCAATTGGCCTGGAGGTCAATTCCTCTAAGCAATGAAGGCTCAACTACAAGACTGCACACAGCCCACAAAGGGGTGCACCAAGAGTGTCCACCTCAGGTGAATGGGGAGGCTGAGCCACTGGACCCTATAGGACACCTACTACAAAAGGCCACTCTATCAACTCAAGGAGACATAGCAGCTCTACCCAATACATAGAAACAAACACAGGGAAGCAGCCAAAATATGGAGACAAAGAAATATGCCACAAATGGAAGAAATGGAAGAAAGAAAACTACTGGATGTAGAGTTCAAAACCACAGTTATAAAGTTACTCAAGAATCATCTAGAAACCTCTGAGGAACTTAGTGAGACTTTCAAGGATCTTAGTGAGAATGCCCCCCCCCCCCCAAAAAAAGGAAAAGGGCCAGTCAGAAGTTAAGCATACACTGACTGAAATAAAGAATAATATACAGGGATTCAACAGTAGACTAGAGGATCCCAAGAATCGAGTCAATGATTTGAAATACAAGGAAGCAAAAACCACCCCACCAGAAGAGCAAAAAGAAAAAAGAATCCAAAAATATGGAGATAGTGTAAGGAGCCTCTGGGACAACTTCAAGCTTACCAACATCTGAATTATGGGGGTTCCAGAAGAAGAGAGAGAGCAAGATATTAAAAACCTATTTGAAGAAATAATGACAGAAAACTTCACCTACCTGGTGAAAGAAATAGACTTACAAATCCAGGAAGCACAGAAAACCCCAAACAAGAGGAATTCAAAGAGGACTACCCCAAGACACATCATAATTAAAATGCCAAGGGAAAAAGACAAAGAGAGAATCTTAAAAGCAGCAAGAAAAAAACAGTCAGTTACCTACGAGGGAATACCCATACAACTCTCAGCTGATTTCTCAACAGAAACTGTGAAGGCCAGAGGGAGTGGCAAGAAATATTCAAAGTGATGAATAGGAAGAACCTACAACCAAGATTACTCTATACAGCAAAGCTATCATTTAGAATTGAAGGTCAGATAAAGAGCTTCACAGACAAAAAAAAGCTAAAGGAGTTCATCACCACCAAACCAGTATTATATGAAATGCTGAAGGGTATTCTTGAAGAAGAAGAAGAAGAAGAAGGAGGAGGAGGAGGAGGAGGAGGAGGAGGAGGAGGAGGAGGAGGAGGAAGAGGAGGAGAAGAAAGAAGAAGAAGGTAAAGATAAAAAATTATGAACAATAAAGTGACAACAAATGCATATTTATCAACAAGTGAATCTAAAAATCAAATGAATAATAAATCTGATGAACAGAATAAACTGATGAATGGAATAGAATCAGGGGCATGGGAATGGAACAAACTGACGATTCTCAGAGGGAAGTGGATATAGAGGGGAAGAGATTAGACGAAGATCTTATATGCATGTATGCAGTACTAATGGACACAGACAACTGGGTGGCAAGGGCCTGGGGTGGGGTGGGAACCGGGTGAAGGGGAGCTATGGTGAGGGGAGGGGGAGAGGGAAATCTGTAATAATCTCAACAATAAAGATTAAAAACAGCATATTACGCTTTGATTGGTTGAACGGCCGACTGGACCACTGGACACTTAGCATATTAGGTTTTTATTATATAGGATAACAACTTGGATGAATCTTAAAATAATTATGTTGAATTAAAGAAAACATATTAAAAAAAGAAATCTCAGTATATAATTTCATTTATATAAAATCCTAAAAATTGCATGCTAAATCTTTAGTGTTTGCCCATGGGAAGACCGGGATCATGAGAAAACTTTGATTGCTATGGAGGCTTCCATGGTGTGGATATATATTTATCAAAAATCATCAAATTGTGTACTTTAAGTATAAGATGAGGCAAAAATAGATTTACAACTGTGAGTACAGTTTATTCTTGTATGATTATTTATTAATAATATTATTTATTGTATTATTTTCTATAAAAAAACTGTAAACCTACTTCTGCCTCACCCTGTGTGTGCATTTTACATCATGTTAATTATGCTTAAATAAAGCTGTAAAAAATATTGTGAAACACGGTATCTTTTCAGAAAAGTACATGAAGAAGAAAGAGAAGAGGGAATGATAAAAGTAAAACTAAATAGGTAGTTGTAAATAGTTGTTTCTTTACCTTTTTAATTACTAAGGGATTCTCACTGGAAGTTTTGAAGCACTCCTTGATTTTTCTACAGGGCTCTGAAATGATATTGAGGGAAAATATACTTAGATCAAACTGAAAAAAACTGTCCTATCACATGCCATATATGTCAGTTGCTGAAATAGATGGAAGTATCTCTAAATTTCAATTAAGATCAACCCCTGGATCTGTTTATAAATATTAAAAAATTCACAGGTATAATTATACTACAATAACATAATAAAAGCATATCTATATTATAAAATGAATTCTATAGCCAGGAAGATGATATAAAGAAACATTGCGAGAGCTTTCTTGATCTGGGTAAACTGTTTTTGAAAGTACATATTTCAGTGTAAAATAATTTTTTCTCTGGTTCCTGTTCATGTAACTGTCACTTTCTCTAATTACAGAGATTGTATGTGTGCTGTTTGCTCTGTGGACAGAAAGTGAAGATGTATGCTGAGTTAAAATTAGATTCTTTATTTGATTTCTTGTTTCATCAGTCTCTCAACCCCACCCATTCCATACAGTCATCTAACTAAATCCCCCTAAATTACCCTAAAACTACTTAAACATTTGCTTAATTTTCCCTTGCATTAATTAAAGATATATCCTGTTTATGTGATGCTATCTTTTTTACTAAACCCATAGTAAATACAGCAATTCTTTTAAAGGTGAAAAAAAATTTGTGTATATACCCAATAGTATCTGAATTCATTACTTAGAGTATGGAAAACAAAGTCATGGGTGTGAATCTATTAAGAGAACTCTTGTGGGAAACAAAAACCACTCTAATTATTCTAAGCAAAAATAATACAGGGAATTGGTTGTTTCTAATATCATTGGAAGGGCTGGATCAGTGAACTCTGGTCTCGACCCTTCATAAATCATTTCAAAAACAACATCGTGCACCTAGCCTCCCAAGGAAGCCCAGCCTTATCACAGGCAGAAGGGAGGGGAGTCAGGAGGTCATGGCCACTTCAGTGGCTATCACCACATCCATGAGGCTAAAGATTAGGCACTGGATCACTGCTACAATCCAAAAACCATCTTATTGGCTGATTTTGCCTTTTGACGCCTATAAATCCAGAATCTGAACACTGGGATGTTGTAGCAAAAAACAAAAATATCTTTGTCTCCAGTCATACTTGATAGCAGACATAAACCAAAAAGATGACCTCAACCGGACATCTGTGATATAAATTTTGCCAGATGGCAATACCTAATTCCCATCATAGGACTCCTACATTATAATTTTTAAATTCCTACACTTTACAGCATAAGAAGGGACACTATAAGAAGGTGGAATAAGTAAGCTTTGATTCTTCATTGCTGGTGGGAAGGTGAGAAGAGAAACTCCTAAATAAAAGATGAAATGAGTTAACAAGCATGCAGACCTTAGAATGGAATCATATAGTAAGTACTCTGTTAGTGATCCCTCTTATTATCTTTTGAAAGGTGTATATTTTACCATATTATACCAAAATAATTTTCATGTGCCCCCAAATTTTAGTAATACAGGGCAGGAGAAAGAGAACAGGATATAATTTCTACTATCCAAAACTCCTTCTATTTTATCTTGATCTTTAGATTTTGCCATATGTGCCTTTCTTTTATTAGTTTAAGGTGTACAACATAATGATCTCATAGCAAAATGATTATCACAATACATTTAGTTAATATCCATCACTTCACATAGTTACAATTTTTTCTTGTGATGAGAAATTTAAAGAGCTTTTAACTTTCAAATATGCAATACAGTATTGTTAACTATAATCATTATGCTGTACTTTTTAAAATATATTTTGGTTTATTTCAGAGAGGAAGGGAGAGGGAGAGAGATACAGCATGATGGGAAAGAATCATTGAATGGCTGCCACCCCCATGCTCCTTACTGGGTATAGAGTTCACAAACGGGGCATGTACCTGATTGGGAATTGAACCGTGATCTCCTGGTTCATGGGTCGATGCTCAACCACTGAACCACCTTATGCTATACTTTTGATTAATCTTGCCTCATTTCAATTCAATAAACATTAATTCATTGAATTGTTTATGAAAGACCAGGCACTGTGCTGGAAGCTGGGGAGATGTCAAGAATGGCAAGAACACAGACTTTGCCATTCAGTGGGGAAGATGTAAACATGAAATTCCTTGCCTATTGCATTTCCCCAACTCACTTTTTGTCTGAAGTAGTTTCCCCATCTATGCTGGCTAAAGATTCATTTTTGGTATCTCTTAACTAATTTGGAGAAACTAGAGATTAGAACCACACAAATATGTCTTGGATACAATGAATAATTATTATAATATTTATTAACATTTTTGAACTACTGAATTGAAATTAGAGGGGTAAAACATTTTTATAATGAATAACCTATTTCACAGTGAGAAGATTTCATGGCTGTTTAAAAATCACTGCAGCTATGTTAGCAATCATATAGATTTCCTTCCACTCACCCCCACCATTCCCTGATAGTTTGCAGGAGGCCTCAGGAAAGATTTCATCAGTTGAGTGGGACTCACCAGAATGAGGCCGTGGGGGATGTACATTGGCACTTTTGGGGGCTGGTGAGACTCCTCTGACTGGGCTCTCCAGGGCTGCAGTGCTGGGTGGGTGACTGCATTTGGCAAATGGTATATTGTCCGTCGTCTCTAAGTGGTTGAACTGGTCAACATCCCACAATGAGTTCTCATCATCCTTCACAGTACAGATAGGAATGTTATTCAAGCCTGAGTAGTAAGGACAAGAAGACCAAACCACCAATTAGATTTGGGGCAAGTGTTTTTTGAGTGATCACTAATATCCCACCCAATTAGATGTTCTTAAATGTGGGTAAGTTGTATGAACCACTGCGAGTCTTTGAAAATCAGTGTAGCAAATTATATTTGCAATACATGCTTCCTTGAAATAGCCTGCCATCTTGTTAGCCTGAGAACCAGATCCACATCTTTGATCTTGATCTGAGTCAAGTGGGGTAGGTCTGCCTCTATTCCAGATAGACCTCTCATTTCCCAAGTTTTGATAATGACTAGGAGAGATTATGTTAGCCTTCTTCATGAACACCAGATTGAGATTTTTTGAAAGCATCTAGAATGCCTCAATGTAGAAAGGCATCCTAAAAGACATACATTGGCTCTTCTTTTGTACTGGCAGATGGTGAAAAGCTGTTGGAGTTAGGAATAGGAGGCAGGGTAAGGTAGATTGTGAGGGAAGGAAGGAAGGTGAATGTGGTACAAAACCTCCTTTCTCATGTCAGAGTTCTGGGTTCATTCCCTCTGCTGTAATAGCTATTTGCTTTTGGCTCAATATTGATTTATAGACAGGCCATCTTTTCAGTACAATACTATGTCATGTATGTCGAATTGGATAGCTTAGGGAATGGGGACATGCAGGGCATTGCTCTATGTTAATCGGTGAATTATAAGAGATGATGGTAGATGGTTGCTTTGTTTCACAGGAAGGGTCTCGATAGTGGTTTCATATTTGCCATTCTTCTGAATTTCCCTCTGGTACAGTAGGTCCACACCATTCTTATCTATCTGCTCAAATGACATCAAAAAGGTCTTTGCTGACAATACAGCCCATTACACTCTATCTCCCGTTGCTTTTATTTTTCCCATAGCATTTGTCACCTGTCGTATCTGTTTGCACACTACTAGGCTGAGCTGCCCCAGAATAGAAACTATGTGAAGCATGGATTTTTGTTTCCTTTTCTGCCCTATTTCCAGTATCTAGAATGGTGCCCGGCACAAAGTAGGTGCTTTATGATTATTTGTTAATAATGAATAGATAACATAACCAAATGCAAAGCTTTGATTTAAGCTAATACTTCGAACTTTACTTATAGTAACTTGTTCCAAATAGAAGTGAGAATACAATTTTCGAAGGTAGCATTACTTCTTATCATTTTATTTTAAACACCTAGGTTTAGTGGTTGATCCAGATGCATAGTGAAAAATTGTTTATCAAATGAAGCATATAACATTAACAAAGAGACAATTAATGTAAAATATCCTATTTTCTGTCTACCTCCTTTAATTATAAAAGATGTGTGTGTGTGTGCCTTTCCCCCCTCGGTCTCTATTTTTTTTCAACTTTGTTTTTCTTGTTCATTCATACATTTTTTTTTCATTTTTATAAAGAACTTAGATTCCATCTTTCTAACCAAGAGTTAGGAAAGGAGTTAGGAATAGGAGGCAGGGTAAGGTAGGGTAAGGTAGATTGTGAGGAAAGGAAGGAATCAAAATGTGTAAAGTGTCAAATGGACTATTATTAAAGTGGTGTCAGAGTCAAATGGGACAATATTAAATGATTTAAAGCTAGTCACAGAAATATGAAATTCAATCCAGCAGTGAAGGAGGTTAGCAACAATTTTGGTGGGAGTTTCATTTACTTCCTTGAATATACAGGAGAATTAGGTAGTGGAATCTTGGGCCCAAGAAAGACCAGCTGCCCCTTGAGGTAGTCAAGTTTCTGTACCACCCTATTTTCTTTTAGAGGCATTGTCTTGGATCACGTTCCCTGGAAATAGAAGCTGGGATGGAGAGTTGTGTGAAGAAAATTTATTGGGGAGTGTTCTTGGGAACAACATGTATAAGGAGGCCAGTGAAGCAGGATTGGGCAAAAGTTGAACTGCAATACGGATACCATAGAGGCCTCAGTCAGTTCCGCAAGGAGCAGTGGATGGCTCTGGGGAGGTGCCTCAACTCAAGGCAAGAGGGTCAGGCCTTTCTAACCCCTATCAACCTCTCATTGGTCAAACTCCCATTGTGCATGAGAGCTCCCTTCAGCTGTGAGCAATTCCCAGAGAGGGGCTGAGTGTAAGCCATCAGTTGTTGACACACCTGGCAGGTGGGTAGTTGGGTGCCTTGGTCCTGAAACCATGACCTAGGTAGGTGGTTGGTGCACTATAGCATGTACTACAGTAACTGTTGAAGCTTGTGACTAAATACAGGGTGTCCCAAAAAATGTATACATACGTTAACAGCTGATCGCTCAATTTTGAAAACGAATTGCCTTTATAATTATTCAGAGAGTGTGTATACATTTTGGGAGGACAACCTATATTTTTATTTGATTAGTATCAAATATCTTCCACTCAACTGTGAGCTCCTTGAAAATAGGAGGAGCTGTGCTTGTTTTGCTCACCACCATTTCAGTTTCTCAAGGAGTGGCTGCCACATGGGGGTGCTAAATTCTTTTTGAAGGAAAGGAGGGAGTTTTAATAACACCCAAATATTTTGTAGAGCCACTGACATATTTTAAACATAATTTAGAGCTACCTCAGCCATCCAGTAGTTGTGTGTCCTTGAGCAAGTGATTTCATTAAAAAATCATTTGTGCAGCTGTATGGTACAAGTAGAAGTGCAGCAAGCCTTACCTGACATTGGGAGATCAGTTAAAAAACCAACTCCCTCATCCAAGTAAGAAGGTATGAGGGGGATGGGCCAGGGCAGAGAGCAGCACAGAGAAAATTAAGACAGAACTTGAGGGTAGAGCAAGAGGAAAGCCCAGATGAGAAGCACAGAATTCCTAAAGGAGATTAGGAAAGTGAAAGCCAAGGGCAAGCAAACACATGTTAAAATAAAGAAGTCATAACGTCCTAGGAATCTATTGTCATGGCAAAAACTGAGAACAAGGTCTTTAGCAACCCACATGAGAAAAACATTGCATTTTAATCGCAACTTCCTTCTTCTATGAAGGCAAATACTACTAAGTATTTAACTGAATATAATTTTTTTCTGGTTTTAAATGCTTGAAAGTACTGGATATATCCCCCTCCCCTTTTTTTTACTTTCTCCCTTGAATTATCATGTCTATACTGCAATATAAAACTGCTGGCAAGGGACTGACATTTATGTCTTCAAATCCCCTATAATGTCTACCACAAAGCCTTGCTCATAATCATATATGTTCACAGAAATATATGTTCAACTGAATAAAAAATTTTCTTTGGAAATCTTTTGAGGCTATATCTGCTAATTCTAGAAATCATAACTGGAATTGAAATGAAAGAGAAGAGCAGTCAGTTCAATTTCAAAGAGCAAAATTCGAGGTGCCCATGAAGCATCCAGTGTCTCACATGTAGGTCAAGTGGCCAATTAAATATAAAGGTCTAAAGTTTAGAAGAGGAGTCTGAGTCTAGGATACACATTTGAAAGTATTTGTCCTACAGAGGGTATTTGAAACTTGTGAATGGGTAAATTTGACAAGGCTCTCAGTAAATTAGAGAGAGAAAATGGTCAACGACTGCACCGTGGAGGAACTCCAACATTTACTGCAGAATCAGCAAAAATATAAGCCGGGAAGGAGAAACCATAGAGGTAGGAGAAAAAATAAATGCACAACAAAAGAAACCATCAACAAAACAACAAGAAGGCCCCACTGCATGGGAGAACATACTTGCCAATGTTATCTTCGATAAGGATTTAATCTCCAAGATTTATAGGGAACTCATACAACTTAACAAAAGGAAGATAAATAATCCAATAAAAAAATGGGCAAAGGACCTAAATAGACACTTTTTGAAAGAGGACATACAGAAGACCAAGAGACATATGAAAACATGCTCAAAGTCACTAATCCGAGAGATGCAAATCAAAACGACAATGAGGTACCATCTCACACCTGTCAGAATGGCTATCATCAACAAACAACAAGTGCTGGCGAGGATGCGGAGAAAAAGGAACCCTCGTGCACTGCTGGTGGGAATGCAGACTGGTCAGCCACTGTGGAAGACAGTATGGAGCTTCCTCAAAAAATTAAAAATGGAACTTCCATTTGACCCAGTGATCCCACTTCTAGGAGTATATCCCTAGAAGCTAGAAACACCAATCAGAAAGGATATATGCACCCCTATGTTCGTAGCAGCACAATTCACCATAGCTAAGATTTGGAAACAGCCTAAGTGCCCATCAGTAGACGAGTGGATTAAAAAACTGTGGTACACAATGGAATACTACACTGTGGTAAAATGTAAGGAATTCTTACCATTTGTAACAGCATGGATGGAACTCGAGAGCATTATGCTAAGCAAATTAAGCCAGTCAGAGAAAGATAAATATCATATGATGTTACTCATTTGTGGAATATAATGAACAACATAAACTGATGACCAAAAACAGATCCAGAGACAGAAAAGCATCGATCAGACCGTCAAACCTCAGAGGGAAGGTAAGGGAGGGTGGGGGTAAGGAGGAGAGATCAACCAAAGGACTTGTATGAATGCATGTAAGCCTAACCAATGGACACAGACACCAGGGGGGTGAGGGCATGAGTGGAGGGAGTGGGGGGAATAGAGGGATAAGGACACATATGTAATACCTTAATCAATAAAGAAAAAATAACAAAAAAACCGGTGGTACATCTATACAGTAGAATACTATGCTGCTGTAAAAAGAAGGAACTCTTATCATTTGCAACAGCATGGATGGACATGAAGAGCATTATGCTAAGTCAAATCAGCCAGTCGGAGAAAGATAAATATCACATGATGTCATTTATTTGTGGAATATAATGAACAACATAAACTGATGAACAAAAATAGATCCAGAGACAGAAAAGCATTGAACAGACTGTCAAACCTCAGAGGGAAGGCAGGGGAGGGAAGGAGTTGGGGGAGGGGGGTTAAGAGATCCACCAAAGGACTTGTATGCATGCATATAAGTATAACCAATGGGCACAGACACTAGCCGGGTGAGGGCATGTGCTGGGGCGTGGGAATGGCCGAGGAGAAGTCAATGGGGGGGGGGGGGGCAGGAGATGTATGTAATACTTTAATCAATAAAGAATTTAAATAAATAAATAAATAAATAAATAAATAAATAAATAAATAAATAAATGGTGTTACAGAAACTAAATCTTAAAATGTGAAAGAAAGAGAGGGAAAGATGGGAGGAGAAAAAGATGAAGGAATGGAGGGAGGGAGGAAGAAAGGAAGGAAAGAAGAAAGGAAGAAGGGAGGCAGGGAAGAAGAGAGAAGGGGGGTGGATAAAATATTGTTTCTTCAGGGCTGGTATTTAGCATGCAGATGCTAGCATGGCTGCGCAAGTTGTTAAAATATTGAAATAATCTTATACCATTTGGCCATTGCTTCCCTGAACTCCCTAAGTGGCCCCTTTCCTAATAATGGGGTAATCCAAGCATGAAGACCTAGAACAGGGGGTGCCGCCAGCCTCTGCTTTAGCTCCACTCCTGGCATCTGGTCACCATAGTCAGTGCCTGTGCCTCCGCATGGGTTCAATGCTTTGAACAGCACCTCTGGGTTTACCCACCTGAATCCCCAAGTAGCCTGTGTAGAGAAGAGACACATTCTAGGACCTCAGTCACCTTACCTTTGATGTGGCAGACCCTTCTGGGATGAGGGGTGTGCCTGACTAGATAACAACTTCCATTTCTAGACATACTATGGCTGCCTTTGCTCTCAAACTGAGGAGTAGACGCTGGGGATTTGAGGCTCATGTTCACGGAGTGTTGGTTTCTCCCTCTCCACTGTTGCCACAAAATGCCTTGGGGTCTACCTTAGCCTGGCTTCCACTTCCAAAGGTGCTCATACCCTGAAATCACAGAATGACAATCGTTCCATCAAGGGGTTCTTGACATTTTCTTACACAGCAATTATTTCTCCACCTTCTTTGTTTGCACTAAATTATATCTCGTTTCAAAGCAATGTGAAGCTATTCTGCTTTCGGACGCATTTTTTGTAAACTTTGAAATCAATCTAGGCATGGGTGGAACAGAAAAATTTTCTCCTGGAAAAATCAAAACATTTGAGAGAAACTTAGAGTATATTCTATATTGAATTACATTTAAGGTCACTTGGTTGACTTTCCAACATAAAAATAGATAACTTGGTTATTATCAATTTTAATATAGTAAATTAAAATAATAGTTTTGAAATACAATACCCATGAAAGTGCTTTACATTAAATTAATTTTAAATAAGGACCTTTCCTATTGTACTTTAATAAAATCTGCATCTTAAATTTGTGTCATCTTCTGAGAAGATGGTAAAATCTGAAGAAGAAAAAAAGTCCAATAGCAAAAGAATGATATGACATTTACGAACTGCAGAACCTTTGGCATGTTGTTCTTTGCAGTATTCAGTACTATTTAATGATATTCCCTCACTCACTCAGCAATCATTTATTAGGCACATACAGTGCCATAGTCCTAAGGGATAAAAGATAATGTTATGGCTCTTGGGGAATTCACGATCATTTGGGAAAGAAAATTTCTGGATTAGGAACCTAAGAAAGAGTTATTTAACTTTTCTTAAAGATGGTATACTGGTCTTGAAATTTAAGAAGGAGTTTTTTGTGTGTTCATTGTATGTTTTCTATCTTACATAAAAATCTTATTTATCACAGCACTATTAGGAAATATACATTTTATTTTTAACCGAGGCAGGGAGTTTTTCTGGTCAGAATAATTTGCGGTGTCAAAATATTTCCATATTCTAGAAAGTGATTTCAAGAATTTGTTGGGGCAGGTATTTTTAGTTCATTAACTGTCTTTCTAGGCTAGAGCAATCGGTATTCAAGCTTTTCAAGGTATATATTCAGAGTGTATGGTATAGTAATGACTAGCCCTGTTGCCACAAGACATCTGATTTTCATAAATTATAAAATTATTCTGGCTGAATAAAATATATTTCAATATTTTAAATTCATAAAGTATTACATAACAATAAATACATTTTCTTATTGTTACTTATGAGTAATTAGGAGGTAGGTCTAGCCTCTTTGTGAAAATTGAACCTTAGACTTACTCGTTCTTCTTTCTATGTGAGACTTTTGTACAATTAATTTTTTTTTTTGTATTGGGGGAAAAATGGCACAGTAGGCAGTTTGGAGACTGAAAAGGATGTTGAGCTATAATTAAAAAGTGGGATTTATGGTCCCAGCTTTGCCATTAATGAGCAAAGTAACCATGGGTGGCTTGCTTTACGTCCTAGGTTTTGGCTTGCTCATTTGAAACCCGTAAGTCATTACATGCCTGCTGGAATATTTAGCTATTCTACGATGTGTTTTTCCCACATCAACTCTCTTAGTTAATTTGAAGGATAGTGAAGTACTTTAAATTCTGGTATAAAAGATAAAAAAGCAAACAGTGCAAAGAATTATTCTTCCTCCTAGAAAATTGCAGAGTAGTCTGAAATTCATCTTGCTCTTATATTTCAAAAGGTATACAGTGCTTATAGAAAATTTAATAATCTGATGTTATAGCTTTTATTGTTTCTATTAAAAGTTTCAAAATAATGTTAAAGTAATAAAGGTAAAGTATAAATATTTTATCCTCAGATATCATTTAAAGTTCTACAAAACTTAACATATACATTATGTACTATTGAATGTCTTATTTAAACTTCAAAGTTTTTACAGGTGAAGTAAGTGAATAACTCAGGACAAAGCTATACTTTGATTTGTTCTAGAAAGTAATATAATGATTATAAAATAAAACTACCCTCAAACTTGAGGAAAAGCAAAATTATGTTTTTCTCTGTGCAAGACACTGTCGAAAGAATGAAAATTAAGGGAGAAAATATTTGCAAAACACAGACTGAGACAAAGGGCTTGTAATCAAAATATACAAAGAGCATTTAAAATTCAACAGTAAGAAAACAAATAGCCCAATTAAAAATTGGGCAAAAAATCTGAACAAACACCTCGTCAAAGATCATCAGATGGCAAATAAGCATGCATATGAAAAGATATTCAACGTCATTGTCATTAGGGAATAAAAAATTAAAACAACAATAGATACCACTATATATGTATGAGAATGGCTGAAGTCCAAAACACTGACAGCAACAAATGCTAACAAGAATGTGGAGCATCAGGAACTCTTATTCTTGTTAGGGGGATGCAAAATAGCACAGTCGCTTTGGAAGACATATTGGTAGTTTCTTACAAAACTAAACAGTTTTACCATGTAGACACCAAAGAACTACCCAAAGAGTTGAAAGCTTATGTCCACACAGAAACCTGCACATGAATGTTTATTCATAATTGATTAAGATATTACATATGTGTCCTTATACCCACGTTACCCTCTACCCCCCCACCCCCCGCTCATACCCTCACCCCCCCCATTGTCCGTGTCCATTGGTTAGGCCTATATGCTTGCATATAAGTCCTTTGGTTGATCTTTCCCCCTTACCCCCACCCTCCCCTACCTTCCCTCCAAGGCCCGACAGTCCAATCAATGCCTCTCTGTCTCTGGATCAGTCCTTGTTCATCAGTTTATGTTGTTCATTATATTCCACAAATGAGTGAGATCATGTGGTATTTATCCTTCTCTGACTGGCTTATTTCACTTAGCAGAATGACCTCCAGTTCCATTCATGCTGTGGCAAATGGTAAGAGTTCCTTTTTCTTCTTACTCTTCTTAAAGAATACCTTTCAGCATTTCATATAATGCTGATTTGGTGGTGATGAACTCCTTTAGCTTTTTTTTGTCTGTGAAGCTCTTTATCTGACCTTCAATTCTGAATGATAGCTTTGCTGGATAAAGTAATCTTGGTTGTAGGTTCTTGCTATTCATCACTTTGAATATTTCTTGCCACTCTCTTCTGGCCTACATGGTTTCTGTTGAGAAATCAGCTGACAGTCATATAGGTATTCCCTTGTAGGTAACTGACTGTCTTTCTCTTGCTGCTTTTAAGATTCTCTCTTTGTCTTTTGCTCTTGGCATTTTAATTATGATGTGTCTTGGTGTAGTCCTCTTTGGATTCCTTTTGTTTGGGGTTCTCTGCACTTCCTGGACTTGTAAGTCTATTTCTTTCACCAGGTAGGGGAAGTTTTCTGTCATTATTTCTTCAAATAGGTTTTCAATATCGTGCCCTCTCTCTTTTCTGGTACCCCTATAATTCTGATGTTGGTACGCTTGAAGTTGTCCCGGAGGCTCCTTACGCTATCTTCATATTTTTGGATTCTTTTTTCTTTTTGCTTTTTCGGTTGGGTATTTTTTTTTTTCTTCGTATTTCAAATCTTTGACTTGATTCTTGGGATCCTCTTGTCTGCTGTTGGATCTCTGTATATTATTCTTTATTTCAGTCAGTGTATGCTTAATTTCTAGTTGGTCTTTTTTCATATCCTCCAGGGTCTCACTAAATTTATCGGCGGTTTCCATAAAATTCTTGAAAAACCTTATAAACTTGGTTTTGAACTCTATATCCAGTCATTTGCTTTCCTCCATTTCTGTCATTTGTGACCTGTTTCTTTGTCTCTGCATTTTTTATGCTTCCCTATGTTGGTAGAGTGGTTTTGTGTGCTAGGTGTCCTTTAGGGCCCAGTGGCTCAGCCTCCCCAGTTACCTGAGGTGGTCACTCTTGGTGCACCCCCTTGAGGGCTTTGTGCACAGTCTTGTTGTAGTTATGCCTTGATTGTTGTAGGATCACTGGGAGGAATTGACCTTCAGGCCAATTGGCAGTGAGAATCAGCTGTGTCTGCAGTGGGAGAACTTCTGTGCTGAAGACACCCTTCTGGGGCAAGACTTGTTTCAGTGGGGCTTTGGTGCTTACTGAGTCTGCCCCCTGAGTGTGTCCCTTATGGATCTGAGTTGTAATCTGGATGGTCCCACTCTGACCACTGGGTACACTGGCTCTTGGATCTAAGGAGGTGCTAATTTAGCCTCTTCCTGAGGTTACCCAGCAGGAGCTATGAAGAGAACTGCAGATTCCCCTTCCTTTTTTGGAGTTTGGAGGTGCCCAGATGAGGCCCAGCTGTGAAGCAATGCAAGCTTCTGTGGGGCCTTGGGCCTTCTCTTGGAAGTTCTGGGTCTGTCTGGCCCAGCTGCAATTTGTAAGGTAATTTTCAGGTTGCAAAGGGCCAGGGCATTCATATGCAAAAGCCTCTGCCACAGCCTGGGTGGGGCGGGGTCTCAGGGAATCAAAGGGTGGAGCAAGCAGCTATGGCTGATCCTCAGCCCTGCCCTAGGGGGCCAGGCGTCTCAGTGTTCCGTGGTAATCACTGCAAGCACATCTGAGGGAAAGTTGCCCTCAAGTTCCGAGTTCTGCCCGCTGCCAGACAGTCCAGTTTCTCCCCGTATGAATCCTGGGTCCCCAGAGACTTCCTGGAACCGGAGTTCAGAGCAGTCGGGAGCTTGTGACTCCCTCCCGATTCAAAAAGACAGCCATGTCCTCAGGTGCCGGCCCCTTTCCACGCACGCTCAATCCTCCGTATCTCTGCACTTTACTTCCACACCTCCTCTGAGTCTATGTGTGCTTTTCTTTTTCCTTCTAGTTGTAGAATTTCCACTCAGCCAGCCTTCCTGTAGTTCTGGATGATGCCCGTTTTGTCTTTTCATTGTATTTTTGAAGTTGTTGTGGGAGGCAGCAATTTCCGGTGTTTACCTATGCCGCCATCTTGGTTTCTCCGAGATAAATTATTTATTAATTGATAAACATTATCTTTATTGGCGAATCATAAATCTTATTTACTTTGTAATGAAGTGACTAA